ACCCTCAATACTTGCTCCTTGGACAAGGAGTGAGTTTCATTTCAAAAGCAAGGCAGCGTGTTGCAGATGTTGCGTGAACAGCGGCCTCACAGCAGAGATAGACGGTCAGGCACAGAAAACAGAGCCCAGGGCCAGCGTATGTTAAGCATGTTCATTAATTTCTGTAGTTTCTCTCCTGCTGGCCCTGCTTGCTTCCTGGACGTGCCGTGGATCTTAATAGGCTTTGGATCCCTGCTCACTGTTTTGATGCACACAGAAATGCCCGGAGAGAGGGAGGGAAATATGAGAGAGAGAGCGGCAGAGCGAGATGCAGGGCGATAAATAAAGACAGATGACAGAAATGAACAGATAAAGAACATATGTCATAGGAAATAAATGAGGGAAATTGAACAGGAGAAATAATGACTCGCCTGCCAGACTGAAAGAAAGAACTTTAATTAACTAAATGTGCAGAGTCTGCAATTATAAATCCAAGTAAGTATTAATAAAAATGTCATTACCATCAATTTTTATGTACATCTGCACAATGCGCAGGCCTCAATACACCACTGCTGACACATGCATGTTACGGTAATAGCTACACCTGTGTCATCTTAGTCACACACTGAGTGAGCAGCTTGTCACCCATACAGGCAGCTTGCTTTACATTTAATGAGTCGTCTGTGTAGGTGAACGCTTAACCAATGACGCTGAACCGGCTTAGAGCTGTGTTAACTGTGCAGGGCTGGAGGGCACTAAAAAGGACCCCATCAGCGAGCAGCTTCCTGATGCCCCACTGTTCCACCAGGCCCCCATGCCGAGCTCCAACTCTCCAAAGAGACTTCAAAGGCAGGCATTTGCAGACCTGATGTAGGCGTTAACCTTTGACTCAGAGGCTCTCTCTGTGCAAACAGGGACAGCCTAATTGATGCTGTGCACTGCGGAAAAGAAATAACTTGTCCTTGTGGACTGCAGCCATTGAATAGAGTGCTTTAATTTCTGTCTCTAGCATTATGGAGACAGACAGTGGCTGTGCCTCTACTGTAGCAAAGTGGCCACATTTTTATGCCCAGTGCCAGCGACAGTCATGGCCGGACGCATTACATTTACCAGACGCATTATGTCTCAGGGTTGTCTGTCCTTCCATCCGTTCTTTTCCCCTGAATATCCTGATATCTCAAGAACGTCTGAAGGGAATTTCTTTAAATTTGGCACAAACGTCCACTTAGATTAATAGGTCAACAGATTAATTGGTCAAAGTAACCTCACGTCCATCCCATTCTCGAGAATGCATTATCTTAGGTCCATCTGGAGGGAATTTCATTACATCTGGCACAAATGAACTGATTAGAATTTGGTGATCAAAAGGTCACTGTGACCTCACAAAACACATTTTTGGCCATTACTTAAGAATTGGTGCGCTAATCAGGCTGTTCTCGTGCACTGTTAGAACGTATACCTACAAAAAGTAATGCTTCAGAATTTAGTCATAACCCACGGAATAACGATGAATGTGATCATGTGACCAATGCTCTGATGATAGTAGATGGGAAGGTAGTATACATACCACAAACAAACATAAACTTACTACATATAAAGTAAAGAGGATAATAAATTCCTAGTGTAATCAAAAGAGATGATAATGAAGTCCCCATGTCCTCAAACTCCACATAAAGAGGCAGGTTGGGGTGTTCGATGGGTCAAACAACACAGGACTTTCCCCCAGGAGACCAGTGTTTGTCTGCAGGAGTTCAGTGTTTGTTTCCTGTGTGAAACCAAGTGAACTTTGAATTATTTTAAAGTACATTGTCACCATGTTGTATCTCTTATATCTAACCTACCTAACCTCACATTAAGTGTGTAACATGACAATGCCATTTGCAATGCGCTAATTCGTTAGATAGCATACAAACCATTGTATCAGGATATTTGACATTTTATATTTTTTTATCATAACACAGCAACAGTAGGGGAGACATTTGGTTGATTATTGAATTGATGACACTTATTAGGGTGTCCACCTTGAAACTGCTGATTGTATCAATCTCTGTTTTCGGGTTGAAGATGTGTGTGAAGCATCCGTGTTTTGTAATATGTAGCTTCTTTGCAGCAGCATCCATATTTGAGGCATTGTTATTTGTTGTGACTACATATGAGTCTGGACAGACACGAATGAGGCTGAGGCTGTATTTCTAGTTTTTTAAGACCTCTAGTTACCAAGAGTTTGCATCTAGTAAGGCTACTGTATATGGTTGACAAAAGCAAGCACAGAACTAACGTACACAGAATTATTTTTAGAAATTTAAACAAAAAAAAAACAATCCTCATAGACCACTATGGCAGGTACGGATTTGTAGACATGGAAGAATGGCGGGGTGCAATTTTTCCCCAACCCCCATGGCCTTGAGATGGTCAGATACCAGCACAGCAGCAGGAGATTGAGTCAAGCTCTCGTCGCTCCTTGTGTCCCAAGATAATGCTGAGTGGACACACAGTTCACTCTGGTTAATTTTCCACCTCATGTCCCAGCTCCCTCTCACAGAGATAGAGGGAGCGATAGTCCAGACTGATAAAGGGATGTGGTGACTGAAGGATGGTAGCAGAGCCCCTCTGCAAGATTACATTTTCTGTGTTTTCACTGCTAACCACATTACTGGCTCTTTAAGGGACAATAGGCGTGCAAATAAGCATGAAACAGGAGGCCAGTGGATTAGTGGATGCATGAATAGACAGACAGGACCGGTTGATGGATGCATATCTGTGACGTGTGTCCAGTAATAGATGGACACAGGTTGTCTTTCCTGAACATGGAATGCTGGAGCGGTGGCTTAGTTTGGACCACCGATAGGAAGTTCTTCTGAATCACATGTTTTTACTTTAGAATTCTTTCAATCTTCAGTGTTCAGGAGGTTTTTACCTGCAGAGTTATCCACAGAGGTCTCTTCCTCTCAAAAACAAATGGACCAGATGATTAACACCAGTAAACACACAGAATAAAGCAGTTTTACATTACAGATGAATGTTTCTCAGATGCTGTTTGGCATGTGGGAGATGGGTCCCTCGACCAAGCGGCAACCTGCAGGGCTGAAAATTGAAGCCAACATGGAAGTGCCAGAAACTATAGTTCTCTGAACAGCCACTTGAGGCTAGCTCCGGAAGCCAGTTAATCCCCATAGACCTCCATGTGAAATGCCCAACTTTTCAGCAGAGATAAACACGTTTACAGCCTGGTATGAAAATGGGTTTGGTCTCTAGCTAATTTCAACATTCATGACAACTGTACAGGGGGTGAATTTTAATAAAACTCACCTGTTCACATTTTATTAAGGCTTAAAGTTATACATAATTAAGAGCAGGCCCCTTTGAGTGACTCAGCTGTCTGCTGATAGTGTCCTTGTATTCTCGGTCAGAACCACCCCTCGCTCCTCCACAGCACCAGCCTCTCGCACGAATATTCGCACTTCTGGCTCCAGAAACCAAGATGGCGACGGGGCAACCGCCAAAATGCCGAACTTGAGGCTTCAAAACAGGAGTCCACAAACCAGTGGGTATCGTCCCAGTAGCTACAGTCATTACTTTTACGGTCTACGGGCTAGACTAGCACCTCCTACAGTGTGCTCACCTTTTTGTCTGATAACTTAAGATCCCAATGAGTGGAATTATCTACAGAGGTCTTTTCCTCTGTAAAACAAATGGACTTGTCGATTTAAATGGTAAAAACACTGAATACAGCAGTTTCACGTTAAAAAAATATATGTTTTACCAACACTCTTGTTGGGGAAGGGCTACTTACTACAGTGGCTGATGCAAAAACGCAAATGACTCTATTTTGGGCCAGTGTTTGGTTTGTCCATTCTGGGCTACTGTAGAAACATGGTAGTGCATTCCAAGGTAACGAAAACACAATGATCCTTATTTTCAGCTGATTACATGCTGAAGAAAACATACTCGTCATATTCCATTTCTGCGAATATACCCTCATAAATCCGTCACACTGAACCTTTAACAAAAGAAAATCTGTCCTTCAAGAGAAAGGAGGGACAGTTGTAAGAGGCTTTCCTGTTGCACATTGCTTCATGGTGTCAGTATTTCAGTGCTCTTATTCTGAACTCTGTCCATCTTTTCCTTTGCATCACAGTAGCATGACGTGAAATGTTGGAGCTTTAAGATGGAACAAGAAGCTCTGACATGGCTTCCACACTGCTGTATCAATAATGAATCAACAGTGGAGCCAAGGTTTCCATTTACTTAAAATGCTGCTACAGAGAGAGCGTTATTTAACTTTTGGTTAAAATCATGATGTTGATAATGATGCCATTTTCTAGGCTGTCTTCATTAGGGAGTCATGTTATGCATCTTTGCCAGTTGACCACCACTCGCACGGCTGACTCCAGCCAAGCCGTGGCAAGGTGTTATGGCAGAGCAGCAGGACATTGTGTATGCGTGGAGTGTTTCTCATCCTGCCAGTTTTCCGTCCCTGCCAGCAGTGATTCCAGTGGTGTGTTACAGCTGAAGATATTGTCTGCCATGAGACACAATCTGCACCCTTTTCTTTGGTTCCTGGCATGTCACAGCAGCCCAGTATCTGATTTTATGAGGAAATTTAAATCCAAATCCTATTTTGAGTCTTGTAAAGAGCAAGTGCTCATTTAGCCAGGGTCGTCGGACAATGTGGGAACTTTACATGTTTGTCCTAATTTTGTGAACAACACTGCAATGACAACTCTGCAGGGCAATGTGTCATAGGGTTGCATCTATCCACACCGAATCACCCACTTGGCATCTGGTATTGAGGCTAATGTGTGTCTCTAAATACTTTGTGGTTGTTTAAACACACACACAAGGCATTCAGCCACAGGTGGCAGGTTTGGAAATGGAAAGGGTCGCTGACATGTTTCCCTTTGCCTTGGATCCCAAACAGCTCCAGTGGGCACAGAGTGTCTTTGTATCCTGAAGTGTCTTTGAAGGAATTAACACTTGGTTAACACTGATACTGATTCAGCTGTCCTTCTTCTTTACAGGACACAGATCTGCTGGATATAGCGTACATAAAAGATGCCAGAAATGGAAAGTGCACCAAATCACCAAAGGTAAGCCTGCAGTTAACTGATATGAGCCCAATACTACTATTACTACCCAATACTTTGATATACACATGAAAACATATTGGTTTCAATGCCTTATGGTTGTTGTTTTTTTCTATGTAATATTACATATTGAATCAAGAACAATGGCTTCAATCTTGCTCTTGTTTTTGTCTGTTGGAGCTCTGAGCAGTGTACTCAGAGGACAAAGGAGAGATTTTTATGCTTTAGTGCCAGCAGCAGCTGCGGCCAGAGGCGTTATGATTTCAGGTTGTCTGTCTCATTCTTGTGAACATAATATCTTAAAGGGGAAGTTCCGTTTTTTACAACCTGGACCTTATTTCTGGCATTAAATACGGTTGTTTACTCACCCAGATAAGTTTGGTGTCATTTGGAGTCCTTTGGAAGATATTTAGATCCGCGAGAGCCGCGTATATCCATATAGTGGGAATGATCGGGGCACCGACAATGAGGCTCTAAAGGCAAGGCAAGGCAAGACAAGTTTATTTGTAGAGCACAATTCGTACACAGAGTAATTCAAAGTGCTTTACAGAGCAAGAAAATGCATTAAAATCACAATACAAAATAAAAACATAAATAATCATTATAAAATGAACTTTAAAAGAGAAGAGTGCAGATAAGATCCTTTCAGTCATATGCACAGTGAAATAGAGCTGTTTTGAGCCTAGATTTGAACATTGTCAGAGTAGAGGCCTGTCTCACATCTTCAGAAAGATTGTTCCAGATTTTAGCTGCATAAAACTGGAATCCTGATTCCCCATGTTTAGTCCTGACTCTGGGCACCAGCACGAGGCCGGTCCCTGAGGTCCTCAGAGTCCGAGATGGTTCATATGGCACTAACATGTCAGAGATGTACTTTGGTGCTAGGCCGTGGAGAGACTTGTGCGCAAGCAGAGCTGCTTTAAAGTCTATTCTCTGAGCCACAGGAAGCCAGTGTAGAGACCTGAGCACAGGACTAAATAACACATTATCTGCCGCGAAACTCGTTCATTTCACCAATATGTTTTTAAGAATCGCTAGAGTTGCTTGTCATCATCATCCGGGTCATTTATACTGACCTACTAACCTCTGACCTGGATGATGTCATCCAGGTGCGCCGCCGCACACCCGCAGCACGGCTCTGTTTACAGCTGGAATTTGCTACTGTTAGTTTTTTGAAACATGCCTGAATATTTGTCAGATTTTGAGGTTGTGGATGACGACTTTGAATATGATGGACGTCCTTACCGTTTTGAGCCAGAGTATTTGGATGAGGAGCTCTTTGAAAGGAGGATGCTGAGGCAGAGAGAGGAACAGCTGGCCAGAGAACAACAAACCGCTGCACGTCCGAGAATAGATGCTAACTGGTGGTGTTCTTGTGGACAATGTTCCACTATGCCAACGGAGGAGGAATGCCTTTGTTGCTCCGAGTGGGATTTGAGGCCAGGAGATACACGTCTGGATGTCTCCAGAAATGACTGTCTCACAACTACAGAGGATTTCACTTCTATGATCAACCGGGCTGTTGTAGAGACTTTTTTTCGTGTCCCGAAAGTAAACTGGAAGACCCAGCCAAAGCCTGCAGGACTGAAGGGCAACTTTCGATTGAGTAAGTAGCCTACACACATGCATAAATTGTTTATTTTCCTTGTTTGCTTGATAAGTAAATAACTTTGCGAATTTACATTTCTTTAGTTTCTTCTCATCGCTTGTGTAGAACGGCCCGCACACTGCACAAAAAGCAGAGGCGCTTCTTATGCAAAATGGGAATTTATTATTACATATTGCTCAGTGACAAAAAGTGAGAAACAGAAAGGTGAATGTTTCGGTGGTAAAGAGGATTGTCTTTACGAATTGCCTCTGATTTTTTTTTTTTTTTTTGCATGACATCATCCAGGTCAGAGGTTAGTAGGTCAGTATAAATGACCCGGATGATGATGACAAGCAACTCTAGCGATTCATAAAACATATTGGTGAAATGAACGAGTTTCGCGGCAGATAATGTGTTATTTAGAGCCTCATTGTCGGTGCCCAAGGTCCAGGTTGTAAAAAATTGAACTTCCCCTTTAAGAACACCTTGAGGGAATGTCTTCACATTTGGCTTAAAGAAAACCTTGATATAGTGTTTTCAAATTTGGCACAAATGTCCACTTAAACTTTAGGATGAACTGATTAGATTTTAGTGATGAAAGGTCAAGGTTACTGTAACATTGTATAACTGTCTCATTCTCATGAACATAATATCTCAAGAACACCTTTAGGGAATTTCTTCAAATTTGTCACAAACGTCTACTGGGACTCAAGGGTGAACTGATTAGAATTTGGTGGTCAAAGGTCAAGGTCACTGTGAACTTGTGTCTGTCTCATTCTTGTGAACACAATATCGCAAGAAAACCTTGATGTAATTTTTTCAAATTTGGCTTAAACGTCCACTTGGACTCAGCGATGAAGGGATTAGAAATTGGTGGTCAAAGGTCAAGGTTACTGTGATGTTGCAACTGTCTCAATCTTGTGAATGCAGTATCTCAACACCTTCAGGGAATGTCTTCTAATTTGTCACAGACGTCCACTTGGACTAAACAATAGACTGATTAGAATTTGGTGGTCAAAGGTCAAGGTCACTATGACCTTGCGTCCATGTCATTTTTTGTGAATGCAATATATATAAGGCTTTGAGGGAATTTGCTCAAATTTTGCGCAAAAGTCCATTTCTTCTCAAGAATGAACTTAATAGAATTTGGTGGTCAAAGGTAATGGTTACCATGGGGTGTCAGTGGCTTAGTGGTAGAGCAGGCGCCCCATGGTTCGACTCCAGCCTGTGGCCCTTTGCTGCATGTCACTCCCTCTCTCTCTCTCTCTCTCCCCCGTTCACACTCATCTGTCCTATTGATTAAAGGCTTAAAATGCCTGAAAAAAAAAAAAAAAAAGGTAATGGTCACCATGATCTTGCATCCATCTCATTTTCGTGAACATAATATCTCAAAAACACCTTCAGGGAATTTGCTCAAATTTCTTGCCAAGGTCCACTTGGACTCAAGAAGAACTAAATAGAGTTTGGTAGTGAAAGGTCAAGGTCACTGTATCCTCTCAAAATCTGTTTTTGGCCACAACTCAAGAATTCATACACTAATTTTGACATAATTTTACGCAAATGTCTGATAAGATAAAATGTGGACGTGATGATATATTATATCCATTACTCAACGTCATATCTCAGGAACAGAAGGGGAGACATTTGGTCAGATACTGAACTGGTGACGCTAATCTTGGGTGTCCACCTTGAAACTGTGCTGATGGAGACATGGATACAAACTGTATGTGTAACTTGACTGGCTGGAAAAAGCATACAGCTGCAGGACAGTAGCTCTAGTTTGTCTGTGTAGTATATTGAATCAAGACAATAGTTGGAATATAGTTTGTGTCTGTTGAGGCTCTGGGAGCACAATGAGTAGTGTACTCAAAGGACAGAGGAGGGCTTTTTCAGGTGATGATATGCTTTGTAAGCGTTTATTTTTGTACAGAAATGAAAGCCATGAGTGGGTGTGAGCCCAACAACGAATCAGACACTGTCTGCATCCGTGTGGCCATGAACTCTGTTATGGATAGGATGGAGAATGGTTCAGGTGGTGTAATGACTGAAACATATAACCATGAGACTGGTACATACACAAATGGGTGTAGGTGTGAGGTGTGGTTGATGTAATCTTGTTTCATATGGCCCTCTGAGAGTCATATTTTGCATTGATGTGACTTGCGACTGAAACATGTTTGTGAATACTTGTTTGTGTGGCTGTATGTGTCTGTGGTGTGGAGACAAAAGCAAGGAAGTGAAGATCAAATGACACTCATGATTGACAAACATGATTTGAATTCAAACCCACACAGATAATGGATGCTTTCCAGGGTTTTTGAAATTGCTATTTCACAGCTAATTAAAATAGTTGTGATTGTGAGCGATGAGAGAAGAATTTGTACACGCACTTTTTTAATCTGGCACGCCAGAACTGTCAGGGAATTTGGCTCATTCTGGTGCAGTTACAAAGCCAAATTTAGTTCTTGCAGTTAATTTCCCACTTACCGAGCGATGATGAGAACAATAACCTGCATTATTTCCCACTTTCTCATTATATAGCCGCGCTAAATGACTCAATTTCACGTTCATATTTGATCTAGTCAGTCTTGAGACGAGCTGCTGTTACATAGCAGCAGCGCTCTACATCGCTTTGACTCGGTACAGCGGGAGAAGCGAGTGGGGGTCGCGCACTGCTGCTCCATCTGGGGAGTGAGTAATGATGGAATGAGTACAATAACACAGAGAGGATTCATGCATTTCTAAACAGCTTACAGAGTGATGCTACCCAGGGAGGAGACATGACCACGTGACAGGTAAGATGGTCGAAGCATTGGAAATCCATTACTGGGTGATGGAGTGGTGATGCACCCTGGGCACTGTAATGGGAGCACCAGTGAGACACAGTGTCTGAAGAGTTGATGGGTTGAGGAGAGGAAGGGAGGAAAGGGGAGAGGCTGTGGGGGGGATGGGGGAGGTGGGGAGGGGGGATGATTAAGCCACTGTGGGGATGAGGGGAAGGGAAGCAGAGAGAGGAGAGGGGAAAGCAAGGGGAGCTTTTTATGAGAGATCTGCAGGAGGTGAGAAAAAGGATGAGAGGATGAGAGGAAGGACACGGAGATGATGCGAGGTCAAAGGAAGATGTCAGCTGAGAAGCACAGATAATACCAGACAGCAGTTGCTCAAAGTGGACGGCACTTTTCATGGCTTGCTTCTCAAGCATTTCACCCTCACACGTTTTTAAGGCTCTTGTCAGAATGTCGAAGGTTTTGCCTGAAAGAAATGTACGATAGCTGAAAGAATTTTATTTTTCAGTTAAACATAAGGCTTGGTAAATATGATGCTGTTGGTCATGCAGAACACATAATATTGATTTTGAAATCTGAATAAGCTGACAATAGTGGACACAAGACAAAAGTTATGATGTGACTGAGCA